TGAAATTCGTCTCGGGACATTCCCTGCAACTGGGCTGGCTCGCAATCCCAATCTGGTGACGCAGCAACCCGAACCGGAACTCTGCGGCCTGGCGACAGTCGCCAGAACCGCTGCCCGGAGCCCCAGCGCCGGATGAATTGCTAGCTCCTGGTGTACCTGACGTTGGGGGGGGGTAGAGCGGCTTCGTCAGCTGCTCTCAAGTCGGCTTGCTGAGCGTGCTGGTCGCTAGAGCGATGTGTTCCTCCAGGGCGTGCTGGTGATCGCGGGTGCTGGCCCGCGCGCGGGCGCGGCCTGATGTGACGGTCCGCGAACATGCACTCGCTGAACTCGGGCGCGCGCGCAGGGTGACGCGTTCACTCTCCTCGCGGAAGCCTGGGCACATCCAATGGATTGGAACGCTGCGAGGGAATCGGCACGCGTTGGGGCCCCTGGAGTGCAAGGGTGAGGCCGCCCGCGCGTTGAGCTCAGACCTCACGCGTATCGCGCGCGCGCGCTCGGCGGCCATCTCGCTCTGGATCGAACCCTCCGTGGCTCCAGACGCCACTGCTGTAAAGGCTGCCATGGCCACGTCGCATTCGCGAACATAGTTCGGCTTATGCGGGTGCCTAAGGTGGCGACGTGAATCCACGATAGCTTGCACCAGTCGTTCGGCCATCTTCCATGGCCAAATTTGGGCGTCGAAGCTGTTGTGGCCCTCGACGTGGGTGTGCTCGTGCTTGTTCGAGCACTTGAGGTTGCCGAGCTGCTCGTCGATCCCTCGGATGTTGGTGTCAAATCTCGCGGGTTTCCTAAATGCCACCATGCCGATCACGGAATCCGAGCATGCACTTGTCGAATATGGCCTTGTCCACGCCAAATGCTACAACTACGTCTGGCCACGGCGGTTTGTAGTGCAGCCACGACGAGTCGTGCTGTTCGTTGATGCAACAACGGCAGTCGCGCCGTGTGGCCGCAGAACCGTCAGCGTGGGGCGGCGTCCTGGTAGGGGCGCAGCCACGTGTCGTAATTGAGTTTGTAGTTGCACGTCGCCCAACGACCGAATGGCCTGCGCGCGGGGGCCACTAGAGGCCGGTGCGGTCGCACGTACCTCTCCCCTGCTCGTTGTTGGCCTTCATCTTTGACGTCGCAGCCAATAGCCAAGTCAAAAACTAACATCGATGATGTCGATGCCGTGGTCTTATGTAGCGAGGTAGGTAGCGAGGTGGCGAATTGTGTCGAACTTGATGTGCTGTGATGTCGTTTGAACACTCGTCAGGTGGCGGTCTGACAGTCTGACGCATTGGCCGACGATCCTGCGAACTACCACGCAGGCAAAACTGAGGTGAGGTGGCCGGGGAATTCGCCCCCGTAGCATCCGTCGTCGCGGCCCGGCTAGCCAATGGCAGGTACGCCAAGAGAGTAGGGTAAGAGGCCCGTGGGGTCTGAGCCGCAATCGTCGCAGTGGTCCGCTACGACCTGCTTGCGGGCTACAGGCACATGGCCCTCCTTTATATTCTTCTTCTTGCGCAAGCGCTCTGCTTTAATATAGACACATGCGACGCAGTCGCCAGATACCTCCCTTCGGCAACGGGATCACAATTGGCAAAGTAATTACCCTAATCTTCGCGGCCTGCAACAGGGTCGGCGCCGGCAACATGGTTGCCAGACGCCTCCCGTGACTGTCGATCCCCAGCAACGAATGAAGTGCATTCTGTCGGCGCAAATGCCTGTGGTGAATTCAGGTGGCGCGCTGCCTGTGGTGAATTCAAGTGGGGCGCTGCCTGTGGTGAATTCGAATGGCGCGCTGTCTGTGTCGAATTCAAATGGCGCGCTTATTCAAGTGGCGCGCTTGTCTGGTGTTGTGGGTGTCCTCGAACCGTATCTCCTCGATGATCCTGCTGGGGTCCAGAGCATGCTTCTTGGAGTTCAGAATGTGCTGTTTGGTGTTACGCTTGCCAGTCGCCTTAAGACAGGAAGTCGTTTTCGAGCCTGGTGCTGAAGCTGCAGCTGTGCCTCGTCGATGACTCGCTTCCCTCGGCACGCCGCTGCGCGTTGAAGCGCAGCCGCAATAGGGCGCAAAACGTAACACCTCGCACAATGTCGCGGCATATCAGGGCTAAGCACAGCCGTCGGCTGGTGATCGCCCAGTCGTCGTTGTGCTCCTCAAGCTTGATGTCGCACTTGCACGTCTGGTGGGGTGCAAGGGAACTTGAGCTTCGTGAAGGAGATCCTGCTGTGCTCAGCCCCTAGTACTTGGAGGCTTGTGGCATACTACTTTTGGAATGTTCCGCGTGGCTTTTCCAGAGGCCTCGGGAGCGTGGTTAGGAATGACTGTCTCCAGCATGGCCTAAGATAGTCTCCAGGCCCATCCTGGAGCCTTCTTGGGTGCATCTTGGGCTGTCTTGGAGGCCCAAGGGGCCGACTCAAGAGGCAAAACATATGTCGTTGATGATCTTAGTATGCTCGCCATGTCGGAGCGCCCACGAGGGACCCAGAGGTCCCCAAGAACGCCCAAGACGACTCTCACAGGGGCCAAGAGGCACCTAAGATATCCCCAAGAGAGGGGAACTCCAACTGACACGCCAAGTGGCCCCCATGAGGCCTCCAACAAGACCCCAGGAGGCCCCCAGGAAAGCCCCATATAGGGGCCACCAAAAACCCTCCCAGAGGCGCCGCAAGAGACCACACGAGACATCACAGAGGCCTCAAGGCCACCAGATCCGCCGCCCCCTTTTGCTTCCAAGAAGGTTGCAAGGCGTGCCAAAGAGCTACTTACCCTTTGGGCCCTACCGAAAGTTCCGAGTGGCGCCTCAGCTGAACCTGCTTGCTGCCACCCAGAAGAGAAGGTTTTTAATGGCTTGCCCGCCCAAGGGGGCCTCGAGACTGCCTTCAAGACGGCCTCGAGATGGCATCCATGACGACCAAGATGACCTCTCAGACGGCCAAAATATCCCCAAGAGGGCCCAAGATGGACTCAAGATGCCTCCAGGCTGATCCAAGATGTCTGGAAGACAGCTCCAGATGGCCCGAAGGAGGCCCAAGAGGCCCCCGACAAAGCTCAAAAGGGCTCCAAGAGGTCCTCCAGCAGGGCCCGACTTTCCGACAGCGCAAGACGGCCCCAAAGGCCTCCACGAGAATCCCACGAAGCACGAAGCACGCCCGCACATGGACACCGTCTGGGGTGCTGCGGGTACGGCGCCGGCCGGAGTACCGGAAACTAGTGCCCGATCAGAAGTCGCACTCGATCTTGTTCTAAATCTCCGTTGCGGCCAACCCTAATATGCCTTCGACATTCATATGTCGATTCCCGAGACGGCGCAAGAAGCCCCCCCCAAGGGAGCCACAAGACCGCCCAGGGAGGCACCCACGACGGCTCCCGAACGCGCCAGACGGGCCGAGAGAGCCCTCAGGCGGCCCAAGAGGCCCCCAAGAGGCCCCCCATGAGGCCCCCAAGAGACCCAGAAGGCCCAACGAGGCCCCCAGGAGGCTCCAGAAAGCCCTCAGGAGGCGCCAAGGGGGCCCCAAAAGGCCTCCTCCTCCTTCTCCCTCTATTCCTCCTCGCCCTCACAGTGATGCCCCAAAGGTCTCCATAACGGCTGGGGAACACATGGTCCAATAACTCGGCCAGAATTTCGCCCAATGTTTGATCACATAGGTGCTTCCAAAATGGCAAGGGGCGTCGATGATTTGCCGTGAACGTCTTCGATTCTCATGGATATCGCCCTTCACCAGTGCGCCTCTGCTCTTGTCATTGCAAAACAAGAACGGTTCAACGGCTCCTGCCTAAGGCCACTTCGCAATTTATTTAGTTGTCGCGATCTCGCTCGAGACGTCCTGCCAATGAAACCAAGAATCCCGCTCTGACCGTGGACGCCCTCGCAATTTACTCAGACATCGCGCTCTCGCCGTTCAGAAATCGATCTCTCGCCTTGGCCTTAATTGCAATATATTCACGAATCGCGCTCTCACCTGGGGCATCCTTGCAAAGTGCTCTAGAATTGCGCTCTCCTTTGGGACGTCCTGACGATTCACTCAGAGGTCGTGATCTCGCCACTCAAGAATATGGCTCTCGCCTGAGACTTCCTCGCCACCGACCGCATCAATACCCTGCCCGTCCGACCCGCCCTTTAGACCCCCCCCGTCCGTCCCTTCCTTTAAAGTCCGCCCGCCCGACCCGTCCGTTAGGGCTTGCCTACCCGACCCGCCTTGAAGTGTCCACCCGCCCGAGCCCCTCGCCATGGTCCGCCCCCCGCCCGCCCACTCTGCTGTCCCGCCCACCTGGCCAGCCCGTCAAGGCTCGCCCACCCGACCCGCCCCGACGACCCACCGCAACCCATCCACATTAATTTGAAAAAAAGTCGGCGGACATATTTTCCTTCGCTTTTGGAAGCATCGTTGTTCGTCCCCCCTGCGAGACCCTTCGACGACCCACCCGCGACCCACCGACACTGACTCGAACAAGGTGGCTCTTGCCCCGGGTTGTCTTGCGTTGTCTCGGGGTCACACCGTTGCTCGCCTCCTCGAGCGCGACCCACCGACGACGCACCCACACCGTTCAGAGAAACCTCGGCACCTGCCGCGGGCTTCTGCAGTGGATTTGGCGGACACCACTGTTCGGATCTTGTTCGCTGGTCTTTCTGCCACGGTTAGGAAGCCCTGGCAGCCCCCCCCCACTCTCATCCACACCTGCGGGGCTTAGAGATTCCCTTTCCTCGAGACAACTGCACTTGCTGCGGCAGAGGCGGCGCCAACGGCAGCAGCCGCAGCAGCAGCAGCAGCAGCAGCAGCAGCAGCAGCAGCGGTGCGCGGCAGAGCTAGACGCCGAACGGTAGCAAGGAAAAGGAAATGTGCGCACCACCGCCAAGCTTCTGTAAACCTAGTTCGGGCCAAAGCTTGGTGCAGATGGTCCCCTTGCCAGGCTGGGAGCCGATATTCACGAAGACCTGGCCCAACATTGGCCTGTGAGTGCCTGGAGATGAAGTGCTGATACGTTCCCTCTCCTGGTGTAACGCAAAGCTGGCCTCCGCCTCGGAGGCCGTCGCGGGCGAAGAGGGCGTCGAGGGTACAGGCTCCGCCGCCCACAGCGACCGCGGCCTTCGGCTGGCGGACGCGGGGGGGGGGGGGTGCAGGGCTCAGAGGGGTGGGTCAGAGACAGGGCTCCTGTCGTGATGACGTGGGCGCTGGTTCCTGACACCGCGTGGATCTTTCAAGGCAGTTTTCCGACAGCGCAGATCTTTCGACGACGGCCGTTTCCTCAACACCGCGGCGCTCAACCTGGAATGCCCGCGCTGGGGTCGCCGCCACGTCAACGTGGCGCGAACCTACCGTACCCCCGTCTTCACCGCTCCGCTGCTAACATCTTCCAACTGGGCTCTCAAGGTCCAGGTGTTCAAGCATCTGGGAGCGTCCTCACAAGCTTCGGAAGCAACCACAAGGTTTCGGTGATCCTCAAGGAATTTGCAAATGCATTCCGCTCGACAACCTTCCAGAGTCTCTGTGCTGCGGTCCGGGAGGCTCGGGAGGGAAATGTTCGAAGGTCTTCGAGAGCTTCTCGGCTGGGGGTCTCTGGCCAGCTGGCGTTAGCAGGCTACTCCGTGGCATCCACTGGCCTGCTTGAGGAGCTCCCAGCTTTTCGCGCCATTTTGGAGCCCATGGGACCCTTTGGGCCTCGTGAGGGGTGCTCCGAAGGCCATGGGGGCCTTCTGGAAATCTGGGCGAGGACACCTTGGGCCAGGACGCACCTTTGCTGGCACCCCCCGATCCTACCCCCCGTCAAAAAGCAAGTGGCGTTTTTCTACACACCTTCCCCCCAATTTCAATGTTCAATGGGGTGCCGATTTTGTTTTCGAACTTCGCTGGTCGCGCGATCAACATTGAAATGGGGGGCTGGGGGGCTCGCCAAACACCAGTTGCTTTTCGCACGGGGTTGTAGATGCCGCCGCCGCCCCGAGCGGCTGACTGCTGACAGAGCCGCCGCCGCAGGGTCGCGACGTCCAAGCGGTGGCGCGGGAGAGCGGGCCGAGGACGGGAGGGGGACGTCGGGCCGCCCGCCCGGTGCTCCGCGGCGGGGGCGCAGGCGCAACTGCCCCCGTCCTGCCCCCACGGGCGGCAGTCGCAAAGTTGTCGCCGGGCGCCCCTCCCGCGCAGGGCTGGGCCGAAGCGCTGTTTTTCGTTTCGTGCTCGTTCTGTCTCTCGTGTTGCTCGACCTGTTTTCCCGTGCCTCCCCGCGAGAACAACAAACAAGACCCAGCCGCGAAGACCAGCAAAAAAGCGTTTCGGTCCCGCCCTGCTCCCGCAGTGCATCTGCCCCCAGGCCGCCCGCGTCGAGGCTCGACCTGACAGTCGAGTCGTAGAAGAAGGACGCACGATAGGGATGCAAGGGCCCTGGAAGGCCATGTCGACACTTTGCGAGCGGGGCGCGGCCAGCGACAGCGGCCGAGGATGGGCCGAGGGGGAAGGATGCAAGGGCAACCTTGGAAAGCTGCTCATCCTTACCACGCGGGTTGACTCAACTCCGGGTTGTCGAAGTAGGCACCCCCTCCGCCGCCCCAACTGGCGGCGCGCTCTGGACTCACACTCGCGCCGATCCGACCCTCCTGCGCGATCCCCCCCCCCACGCAGGCGTCATGGGGGGGGGGGGCGACGGGGGGGTATGACGTAACGACACCCCCGCCGTGTGGCTCCGGCACCGCAGCCGCGCCCGCGCGCGCGACGCGACGAGCGACGAGCGACGAGCGACGACGACGACGACGACGCGAGCAGCATGTAGGTGGCGATATGCCCCACTGCGCCTGCGTGCGCCACAACGCTCGCGTGCACCACAGCGCGCGTGGAAAACCACAGCGCCTGCGTACACCGCAACAACCGTGTGCAACGCAGCGCCTGCGTACACCACACTGCTCGCGTACACTACAGCGCCTGTGTACATGTGTACACCGCAGCTACCATGTGCAACACAGCGCCCGTGTACACCACAATGTTCGCGTGCACCGCAGCGCCTGTGCACGCCACTGCGCGTGTCTACACCACAGCATCCGCGTGCAACGCAGCGCTGGTGCACACCACAATGCTTGCGTGCATAAGACAAGTAAAAGGAGCATGTACGTGAGGATCTGCTGCAGACAACTAGACTCCACGCCAAGAGAATGCTGATAATCGAATGCGACGTTTTTCCCGCCTCCGTCCTCCTCCACTTCCACCACCAGTTCCTCCTCCTCCTCCTCCTCCTCCTCCTCCTCCTTACCCCCTGTCTTGCGGGTTGGCGCTACAGCGCACGTGCGCATCTCAGCGCGCACCGCAGAATGGTCCATTGAATCGGTCCATTTGGTTTTCGGACGGCCAATTTAGCTGGAGTCTCCTGGACGCAGATGGGAAGAGTTAGGGTGATGCGGGCGGACTCGGGACGACTCGTAGATTCCAGCGGCGCCCCGTTGTCCATAAGGATTATTTTCGATTATTTTTTGTGCAATCCACAAACGCTATATTTTGTCATAGGGATTCGTTATAACATTCTATATGCAACATTGGTGCTGTGTTGCGCACGATTGCTGTGGTGCACACAGGCGCCGTGGTGTACACAGGCACTGCAATGCACCCAGGCATTGTGGTGTACACTGGTGCTGTGTTGCACACGGCGGATGTGGTGTACGCAAGCGCTGTAGTGTGCACAAGAACTGTTGCGCCCGCAGGCACGATGGCACAAATTGGCGCTGTGTTGCAAGCGGCTGCTGTGGTGTACATAGGCGGTGTGGTGTACACAGGCGCTATGGTGCACGCAGGCACTGTGGTGTACACAGGCGTTGTGGTGCAAATCCCCACATACATGCTGGCGCTACCCGTCCTCCGCCATTCCTAGGCATTCCCAGAACGCCGCCGGGGCGAAACGTGACATCGACCCCCTTCCACCCCCACTTAGATGATTGCCGTCATCGGCCCGGAATAAAAAACAGGCTTCAGCCGCGTCCGCGCGCACGACGAGAAGCCCCTTCCCTTTGATCCCTCCCCCGCCGGGAGGGGGGGGGGTAGCGACCCCCCCCCCCGGGTCAGATACGACGCCCCCCCCTGGGACTCCTCTGCCCCTGGGCTCCAGCCAAGCCGACCTTGAGCAACCTCGTAATTGAGTCGAAGGGAAGCCCCTTCCCTTTGATCCCTCCCCCGCCGGGAGGGGGGGGGGGGTAGCGACCCCCCCCCCGGGTCAGATACGACGCCCCCCCCTGGGACTCCTCTTCCCCTGGGCTCCAGCCAAGCCGACCTTGAGCAACCTCGTAATTGAGTCGAAGGGAAGCCCCTTCCCTTTGATCCCTCCCCCGCCGGGAGGGGGGGGGGTAGCGACCCCCCCCCCGGGTCAGATACGACGCCCCCCCCTGGGACTCCTCTTCCCCTGGGCTCCAGCCAAGCCGACCTTGAGCAACCTCGTAATTGAGTCGAAGGGAAGCCCCTTCCCTTTGATCCCTCCCCCGCCGGGAGGGGGGGGGGGGTAGCGACCCCCCCCCCGGGTCAGATACGACGCCCCCCCCTGGGACTCCTCTTCCCCTGGGCTCCAGCCAAGCCGACCTTGAGCAACCTCGTAATTGAGTCGAAGGGAAGCCCCTTCCCTTTCATTCCTCCCCCGCCGGGAGGGGGGGGGGGTAGCGGGGGGGGTAGCGACCCCCCCCCGAGTCAGATACGACGCCCCCCCCCCGTACCGACCTTGAGCAACGTCGTCATTGAGTCGAAGGGAAGCCCCTTCCCTTTCCCTTCCCCGACGGGGGGGGGAGAGGAGGTCCCGGGGGGGGTCCCGGGGGAGTCCCGGGGAAGTCCCGGGTCAGATACGACACCTCCCTCCCCCACCTTCTCGTCCTTCTCCCCGTTCCCCCAAACCATCCCACAGCCCGTGCCTCTTGCTGCGCATTGCGAACAGGGTCGGCGGCACCGGCCGTCAGGCCTTCGCAATAAAAAACAGGCTTCAGCCGCGTCCGCGCGCACGACGACTATGAGCGACGAGCGACAAGCCACGAGCGACGACGACGACGACGACGACGCCGACGACGACGACTGCGGCCCAGACTCCTATGCGGAGTCCTACGCGGACACCTACGCGGATCCCAAAACGCACGGCGGGCAGAGTGCCCGGAGCGCACTGGGGGGAGCGTTACGTCATAGAGGGGGGGGGGGCAGCGGGGGCCATGACGCCCGTCATGCCCCAAGCAATGAAGAAACGGGCTCTAGGGAGGGATGGGGGCAGGCGGAGAAGAGAGGGGCGCTCTGTCAGGAGGGGCGCCCTATATAGGGGTTGACTGTAAGGGTGTGCGCCCTGTGTCCGCAAGCGGGCCTCCAACATCAAAAGGCGGCGGGGGGCCCGTGGAAGCGCATGGAAGCGATCCGGCGCGGCCGTCGGCCCTCCTCTGGCGAGGGAAGTGCCGGCCCTGGGCAGACAGGTGCGAACTGTTAGGTTCCACTTGATTTCCGGGGAAGGAAGGGGGGGGGTCCAGGTGGAGAGGCCGCCGCTGGCAGGGCGTGGACGAGGCCACGGGGGGCTCGCCGGGGTCCGTCGCTGGGCTCGCAAGGCAGCTCGGGCAACGAGCTGAGCTGGTGCCGCATTGGACGCCCCATGAGGAAATCATATGCGAGGACCCGAAGTTCCCCGAAGGGGTCGCTCGGCCACCTCGGCGGAGAGGTCGCTCGCCCACCTCGGGGGTCGCGGAAGCAAACGGACGCAAAACCACCGGATCACATTTCAGTCCGTCCGGAGACTTCCTCCAGCGACCGGAGAGTGGCGATTCTATGTGGGACTGTCTCGCCACCAGTTTGCCCGCCCCTTCTCCAGCCGGCAGAGAATTACAGTTTCGCCCATCAAAACCTTGCTTCTGAACACCGTCTATGCCGCAAGACAGTTTCGCTTTCGCGTGAGACTGCCTGGCACACTGTTTTGCGGCCCCATGTCGCGCCGCTAGACACTTACGATCTCCCGCGAGACATCCTTCTCGTGGAAGTCGCGCCTACACCGAAGAGCGAACACTACGGGCTTCCACATCTCAGTCTGCCCCAGTTCTTCCCTCGGACATGCCATGCGTCTCGCATCGCACGTTGCGCAGACAAGCCGGATTCATATTCGA